CTGAGATGTGGGATAGAGTGGGATATTCCCACCTGAGATGTGGGATAGAGTGCGATAGGCCCACCTGAGATGTGGAGTAAGGCAGGATATCCCCACCTGAAATGTAGGGTAAGGTGGGATAGCCTCACCTGAGATGTGGGGTAAGGTGGGATAGCCCCAGCTGAGATGTAGAGTAAGGCAGGATATTCCAACCTGAGATGTGGGGTAAGGTGGGATATTCCCACCTGAGATATGGGGTAAGGTGGGATAGCCCCAATCTGAGATGTGGGGAGATGGGATAGCTGCAGGTCACAGGCAGCCAGGCACATCTGTCTCTGGCCTGGGGGCTCTGAGCTCTCTGCTCTCTGGTCAGCAGTATCTAGGTTTGGAAGAGATGGCCTCTGTTAACAGCTGGTGTAGTGACCGGTGTCCTCTCCTCAGTCCTTACACTTACATCCTCTTCCCTTGAGTTAGTCCACGTGTCCTGTGAGCTTAGTAGGGCTAAGGGCTAGGCCTGTGTAGGTTCACACAGTGCCCAGCACACTGCCTAGAACATGGTAGTCACTTAAGGAAGGCCTGCTTCTTTAATGAGGCAACCGTAAATAAATAAGTAGGTAATTTTTTATCTCCTGTTTAGGCAAAGAAACCTCAGAAAAAGGGACATCGTTTCCCCAGCTCAGCTTCTCTCTTTCTCCAAACTCGTGGAGCCGACCAGCAGAGCCGTTTCCCGAGCAGCAGAGATAATGGAGACTTCGATGCAGGCGCTGAGAGGAGCCGCCCACCTGACCCAGCGGTCAGGGGGTCCCACAGGTGAGCCCCACACCTGCCCCTCTCTGCCCAGGAGCCGCAGCTGAGAGGGGGGGTTGCTTGTTCAGACACCAAGCAGGATGCGATTCTGGCCCCTGTATGGCCTGGAAGCTGCAGTCCTGTAAACTGCTCACCAGTCAGTGTCTTATTTTTGTTAGCCTGAAAAATAACTGTTTCTCTACTATTCAAACAAATTTGGAAAACCAGTTTAGTGAGTTAAACATCCTGTTTTATGGTATGAAATAATTTAGGGATTCTCCCATAGACCCCTGCCCAGTTGGAACTTGGGGAGCTCACTAGGGAGCCCCTCCCTCTAGGACTCATATGCAGGTAAAAACAGCAGGGGACACTCAAGTCCTGGCTTCCCACCAAAACTCACAGCCGTGCAGAGCTGCCAGGGTCCCTAAGAGCCAGCTGTCTCTAAGGTGAGGACAGTAACACTGGCTGCCCCGGCAGATGGCTGTGGGAAGAACAGAGTATAAACATTCAGCCTCCAGAACCCTGTAGACATAGGATACTGAGAAGCTGAGGTGACAACCAGCGCTCCCATGAAGTGCAGTTGTAATTCTGGCAGTGGGAACCAGAGAGTAAGTCCTTGCAATGGACTTAAAGAGTCTCCCACTGCAGTGCCATGAACAACTTGCTGTCCACGCTCTTCCTTCCAACCAGCTCTGGGTTAATTAGTGCTGATTCACTCCTCTTTTAAAATAAGACAAACTTGGCAAAATCAGAATTAACAGAATTCTCATATCCTAAACTTGTAATAGTTCAGTTTAATTGATTTTATAGCAACCAAAGATGCTCTTGAAATGGTTTTGTTTCAAACCACAAAATTGAAAAATGTCTCTAAGGAATTCTGGTCCCAGGCCCTGCCCTGCAATGAGCTGGGCCCTGCAGAGACCCCAGATCTGGTCCCAATCTGCAGAGTCCTCTTCTGGTCCAGATCTGTGAGTGCAGGCGTTTAGGAATAGAACCTCATAATGTAGAATGCTGTAAAATGATTTCCATTATGACCACAGCCCGGCTGGAGGGCTTAGAAAGTGACAGGAGCCAAATCAATCCTTGTCACTTCCCCACCAAGTAGTAACTGTGCCCAGTGCTGCCCCCTCGCCTGGGTTCTGGTCAGCCAGCTGTGACCACATCTGGGCACTCACCCTTCTGAGGAACCTGCACACTGTCCTCTGTTAACTGTACACCCCTCACAGCAGGGTCTGCTGGACGTCCGTGGGTCACTCATCTGAGCTGCTGAGTGAGCACTCGTTACTCAGTAAGAGGCTGGTTTTGTTTCTGCCCTGCCTGCAAATGGGATATATTCCTGCCTGGTGTTTCCTATTGAATATCTCAATTTCACTGGTATGCGGTTAATCAAGGTTTTAAGGCATTATCTTCAAAGATGTGCATAAACCACCTTGGAGAAGCAACCGATGATTACTTCTACTAAGGGGCAAAAACTGCCCTCCCTTTGATTTGTTGAATAACCTATAAGCAAGTAACAGAATTGTCAAATAAATAAATAAAATAAAACAAAATAAAATAAAATACAATAAAAGGAGGGAGACTGTTTTCTGGAGCCCTAATCTAGAAAGAGAACCAGAAGTTCAATACACACAAACTGGTTGGATGATGAGCACTGGCAGCAGACTAGACAAAGGGGCTTTGTGGGGGTGGAGTGAACACCAGGTGTGCTCTCTCTTCTGAAGGACGGGGCCTCTGCTGGCACACGGCCACACTGCGCCCTGGTGCTGAGCTACCAGGTGTCTGTGAGAGAGGTGGTAACTCCCAGCCACAGCTCGCTAGCTGTCTGTCTTGGGAGCACTCAGATTGCTTTTTTGAAGGATCACAAAACAAAAACAAGTTTTGAAAACTCACATTCCTAGCAATAAGGAAGCTTGAGGGAATTAAATTAGAAAGCAGTTGATTTAAAGGGAGAAGGCGACTTTCTCAAAAGGATGACTTAGGTGACACCTGGTCCTAGTCTGAGATGCTGGCCCCTTGTAAGGCTATAATGGAGCCTATGGGTAGATCTATGATCAGGAACCGAGGGCTTGCAGCTTCCTGTTCCTTTCTCAGATTCCATCTCAGAGGACCTGCTCAGTGTAATCTCAAACGTCTCGGGATGCTTGCCCTTCATGACGCCGCCCAGCTGCCCGGACACCTGCCTGGCCCGCAAGTACCGGCTCATCACAGGCGCTTGCAACAACAGGTGCAGCTCACAGGCCCCAACTTCTTGCACTGTCCATGGCCTCATAAGTCACCTGAACCCACAAAAGGGCCACACTGCTCACTACATGAGTTTCAGACACATCAAAGGTGCTGACTTCCACCCGGGAAACACATCCTCCCCACACTTACCAACAACAGAGGTCAGCAGAGGTCACAAGGACCCACTGCCATCATGCTGCACTGGGTTTCTAATCCAATAGTCACACCTACTGCTGTGGCCAATTCCACCCCCACCCCCACAGGCTCCCTCAGTCCCACTACACTCAGGATCCCTGCCCTCTGCCTGCCCTGAGGCCAGGCCCTCTGCTCCCTCTGCCCAGAGGCTCCATCCCAGAATTACCGTGTGTTCTCCAGAGAGTTTCCTGCGTTTCCACATGTAATGGGAAAACCATGTTTTAAGCAGGAAACGGGATTCCAGCGAGTTCTAAGGTCCAGCAGGGGCTATTCCTGCCCTCAGGGTTTTAAGCTTTGTCACTAAAGCCATTGGGACATGATGGTGGAGATCCACTGTCACAGTTCAGAGGCTGGGGCCTGACTCCAGACCTGCCCACCACCCAGAGTCCTTTCTGTGGAAAACACTCAAGTTGCTTCTTAAAATAATATTTTCTAAGATAATATCCAGAAAGAGACAAGCAGAGTTCAAAGCCTGGACAGCACCTGGCCAGCCTGAGTGTCTTGAAAGTGTAAGTGGAAATGAAGCCCCCATGCCGGGGCCTCCATGGACTCAGATAACGGAACGGAAAGTACTTATTATGGAAGTCCCCTTCTGTCCCCCCTTGGCAAAATGAACACAGCAACTATTTGTGGCTGCTTCAAGGAGAATACGAAGCCAGGTTTAAATAGCTCAACTGAGCCTAAGGTATCCTTAACTGCATTGTCAGACACCACATGCAGGCAGGGCATGGGCAGGGTAGAGGCAGGGACAGGATCAGCATCAGGGGCTGGGGGATGCTCAAGGGCAGGGGCAGGGACAGGATCAGGATCAGGGGCTGGGGGATGGTCAAGGGCAGGGGCAGGGTCATGGGCAGGGCAGGGACAGGGACAGGATCAGGATCAGGGCAGGAGGAGGGTCAAGGGCAGGGACAGGGTCATGGGCAGGGCAGGGGCAGGGACAGGATCAGGATCAGGGGCAGGAGGAGGGTCAAGGGCAGGGCAGGGCCAGGGCAGGGCCAGGGCAGGGGCAGAGGCTTTCTTGCAGAGTCAGACTCCCCGTAGTTAAGACAGGGATGCCCAGGCTGGGGGTGGGGGGACAAAATCTGGGAAAGCAGAGGTGCGGAGCAGACCAAGTGTCCAGTCCTGCCCTGGGCCATGCCCAGCCACACAGGCCCTGCAGAGGGCAGCAGAAGCCTCACATGCAGGTTGCTGAGGCTGTGGCCGTGAGGCATGCATATGGGTCGGACACACCAGCTGTCCATTTGCAGCTGCTAACGTAATAGGCAAGGGGCCTTCTTGTTCACATTGCCACCTGAGGCTTCTGCTTCCACATCTGCAGAGTGGGAATTATAGCTACTTTTCGAGGTTGAGTTTGTTTTGAAAGGTGGCACGTCATGTCAGGCCCCAATGTGCTGTCCACCACCCCCACAGTAAGTGCTGGACGACTGTCCTCCTGAGACGGGGATCCAACCACTAAGGGAGAACACAGCCTTTAACCCACCTGACTGAGTCCATTCTCACTGCCAAACCCATCAACCAAATATGACTTCCTCTTTCTCAGAAAGCCCTAACTTTATTTTCAAATCAAATAAATATATTAATGGTTCCCCTGTCAACTATCTAACTTGTAAACTTAGAATATTGCAGCAAATTCCAAAGTTTCTACAAGTTTATCTTTCTAATAAGCACATAGTATAGGGAGAAGATTCTGGGTGGTTCTATGGTGCTTTAATTAAAGGATGTTGAAATACAACAATATTTCAAATTTCCTCTTTGTTTGGAGTATCCCAAGCTTCTTACCTGGCGGGAAGGGCCCCTGTGTCCCCTAGAGGGTGGCAGGGTGGCCTTTGAGGAAAAAGCAGGAGAGAGCTCGTGGGAAGGGACCTGGGGGCAGCATGCCTCACACAGACTCCACTGGGGGGAGGACTGAGGCTGTGCAGCAGGTCCCCTGAGACCAGCCGTGTCCACCTGCCCCTGGGATGCCTTTTAGGACCACCCCGTGTGCCCAGGTGGAGTCTTCTTTATGTATAAGGGCTCTGGAGGCCACCCTGATTCTCCCTGAGGACACTGCCTCCTATGTAGGACTTGCATCCCCCGCTTTCCCTCCCTTGGCTCAAACTTGTGCACATTTGTTTTGCAGAGACCACCCGCGGTGGGGTGCCTCCAACACAGCCCTGGCCCGATGGCTGCCTCCCGACTACGAAGATGGCTTCAGTCAGCCCCGGGGCTGGAACCACGGCTTCCTACATAACGGGTTTCCCCTGCCCCTGGTGGGTACCTCAAGACCAATGCACTGGCCAGCCAGCCCCCTACATGGGTCCCAGGGGCTGGGGATTGACCATCACTGAACTTGCTAGAGGCACCAGGCACAGTGTGAGGCCATCCCTCCCTTTGCAGTGGGGTCACAGTCGGGGGCAGCCCACGAGCCTCTGGGAGACTGAAATCACTGGGGATGATTTCAGTAAAGCTCCACCCTGCTCTCCCCACCCCGGTCTGGACAGTCACATCAGTGTTTTTGAATAAATATGTTATTCATCAGGTAGGCTTGGTGCATTCAAAGATGCATCTTAATTAATTGATGCTCTCATTATGTAAAGATGATGATTATCACTTTACTCCCAGAGGTGAATTTCTTCACTAAATAATCAAACCCAGTCTAGTAATCTACTGGGTCAATAAAAAAGTCCTTTTGTTCCCAATTCAACTAGTCACTTCAATGGATGGACCAGCCCACTTTCTCTTATCCTGTATTTAGTAAGGATATTCTCCTGAAGTAACAGTGGATGCTGTGTTCACCCAAAGCATGCTGTGGACTGACACAGCACCCCGCACTCCAGCCGTCCTCCAGGTGGCTGTGGGCACCGGGACCAGTGTTCCCAGATGCTGGCAAGGACTGGGGAGCAGAGGCTGACCCACAGTGAGGCCGAACCTGGCAGGTGCATGTTCTGCAGCACTTTCATCGCCCTGCAAGTCACTTTCCTTCTTAGCCTCAGTTGCAGTGTCTCTGAAATGGGATCGTAGTATCTTACCTACCTTGTGCTGGATGCTGAACCAGTTCACCTCCTGAGGCCACACACCTTGGCTCAGGGCTCCCCCTAACAGCCACCAGCCCAGACTCCCCGTGCCTTCCTCCCAGACACTTCCCCCTGACTCCAGTCAGGAAAGGGCCTTGACCTTCAGGACCCACGTGATTAGCATGGACATCTCAACGTGCTCTTTTCTTGTAAAGTTGGTATTTTGGAGTTGTAGGAATTATTTAAAGAACATTGTTCCTGTTTCTCACATATAATCACGTCTTGGGTTCTGAGTTTTAGGGCATGGACGTATGTGGGGAAGGCACCGTCCTACCTGCCTTGGGCCGCCCTCTGATCCCCAAATGCTGAAATCCACTTCACATGAACATCACATCCCCCCATCTCAAGGGCCCCAAACCCCCTCCCATTACAGTATCAATGCGGTGTTCAAAATCCAATCCAAATCTCAGGCCAAGTGTGTAAGTGAAGAAGGGAGGCCGTGGGTGTGACCTGCCTGGGACAAGGTCTGGGTCTGTGGCACAGGAAATGGCTGTGTGGTCCCTAAACACACTTTGAGATAGACATGAGATAGCTGTGTAGATGCCCCACTGGAGAAAGGAAGAAATGGGAAGGAAACGGGAAACTCTGATCCCAGGCCTTCTGGAAATCAGCTGGGCAAACTCCAGCAGGTTACCAGCGGTGAGATCATGCCCCATGGCAGAGGCTCTGCCCTGCCAGTCACAGACTGAATCTCGCTGCACGTTTTCAAAATGATGCTAATGTAACCTCCACCACAACCCATCACAAACTAAGGCTGAGAGCTGATAACACCACCACGAGTGCGTGTCAGGGGCCCGAGGCCAGGAGTGTCTCCCTCCAGCTCAGGGAAGGCACCACAGTTCTGTGACACCACAGAACTCTCCTGGGCACCACAGTTCTGTGACAAGACCCACACTGGGCCATGAGCAACCCTACACAGCCACATCCTGCTGAGATGTGCCTCCCTGTGTCATGACAAATGACCTCTTCTCACCCAGGTACGAGAGGTGACACGAGAGGTCATTCAAGTTTCCAATGAAGCTGTCACAGAAGATGACCAGTACTCCGACCTCCTGACAGTGTGGGGACAGTACATTGCCCACGACCTGGCCCTCACACCCCAGAGCACCAGCAGAGCTGCATTTGGGGGCGGAGCTGATTGCCTACTGACCTGTGAGAACCGAAGCCCGTGTTTTCCTATTCAGGTAGAGTCTGTTAACATCTTTATTTTTATTATGGAAGAAATGAATGACTTTTAAAAGACCAGTCAGGGAAGCATAGACTAAAATACCAAAGTCTCCTTTTGTCCTTCTCGGGTTAACAGCTTGCTGTGAATTTCCTAGAGGTCATCTGTCACATGTGCATAATGTGTACATATGCATGTGCAGTGCTTCTCTTTACACATATGTGTACACGTGTGTGCACATGCTTTACTTTACATGCACTATGTGTATGAGCATATGCTTTTCTGTACACGTGTGTGCACATGCTTCTCTGTACCTGTGTACACATGTGTATGTACACGCTTTTTGTTACATGTTTATGAGCGTGTGCACATGCTTTACTTTGCATGTGTGCACGTTTTACATGCACACTCGTGTGTGCATATCCTTTCGTCTGTGTGTATGTATGTGCATTGCACATGCTTGTCTAACATGTATGTGTACACACATATGTGCATACATTCTTCTTTACATCTACTGTGTCATATGGTGAGCACACTCTATGCCTGGTAACGGTCACTTAGCAATAATTCTAATACTTCTCTCCATATCATTAAATGGGAAACAGTCACCTGTTTTATGACTATTCTGTAAATGTACACAGTGGAATTTATTACCCAGTTCACTTACTGGTGACATTTAAGTTGTCGGCAGCTCTGTGGCTGTTGCTATGCGGTCGCAGACAAGGAGGCAGGAAGCACACACTGGACCGAGTCTCTGTGCAGACACTGACTCTGAGGGGTGAAGCTACTGACTTGCAGAGAGGTGCTTGTGGGATTTTGATAGCTATCGCAGAATTTCTCTCTATTAATATTATACTGACGCTCACTTTTATAAGCAAAAACAAGAGACACCACCAGTAGGGCTTTTAATCACTTCTTTAAAAAGTAGCTTTGAAGCTGGCAAGGGGCATTTTCTACTTAAGAACACAGGTTGCTGGGGGCTTACATCCTCATGAACTTTCTCCCAATCAGCCTCACTGGGCAGCGTTCTGTGTCACACTGGGCTGTGTGCTGAGCAGGCAGGAAAGGCAGACAGGCCTAGTGGGCAGGCTGGACACTGTCCCAGCCCACAAGTCACCTGAACAAAGTGGCCCAAAATGAAAAACTGGGGGGAGGGGCTGAAGCCATTCAAGGGTCACCAGGTGGTGGCTGCACAAGGGCTATGTTGGTCACAGGAAGTGAATTCTGACCATGTCCAGCTCCCCATCCCTATAGCAGCCAGTCTCTCTCATGTGGTCTGGCCCAGCCCCTGGGCCAACAGGGCCCGTCCCTGGAGCCTACTCATCCAGGACCCAAGTGGCCCCAGCTGCATGTGTCTCTGGGCAGGGTACTCTCTTGGCCTCACACGAGGCCCGAGTTCTTATCTCTGGCAGAGGCAGCTGTCAGCTCTTGCAGAAGTACCCAGATCTGCAGCAATGAGCCAGTCCAGGCAGAGCCCCTTGTTCACAGCCAAGTGGCTGCAAACCAGGATCACTGCAAAAAAACTCCAGCTCTGCAGCCTAAGGCATGGCAGAGACCACCATCTACGATGTTGTGAGTCCCAGGCGCCAGGCTGTACGCAGAGAGCTCCACTTAAATAAAATGTAGACGCAATAGCAAATATTATCTTGAGCAGTGAAAAAATGAAACTATTTAATTTGAAATTAATGCCTGAACAGAAATGCCCACTAACACTGTTATTAATTAGTATTATCTGAAGATTAATAATTCAGTTAACTAAAGTCCAGAAAATAAACTAAGAGCTGGTAAAAGAAGGGGAAGATGAGACTGAAAGCTGTGGGCTGCCTGCCTTCTCCCCCAGGAGGGACCCCACACGGTGACGTAGGGTAGCAGGAGCACGTTCCCACCTGACAACACAGCAACCCAAAGTAAGAGAGATCCAATTTACGCACAAGGCTCACAGGAGGTGCTCGAGTAATGTGTCACCAAGCTGGAGGGCATTTTCTTGTGGTACAGAAAGCCAGTTACTGAGGTGCAGAGGGAGCAAGGCTTTACTGTGATCAGGTGGTGGGCATGGGAGGTGTGCCTCAGACCTTCTCCCCTCCGACTAAGGGTTGGGGCTCCTGCAGCAGGTGGTGGGCACAGCTGCTGTGATGGATCCAGGTGGCAGTGGTCTGGAGGTCAGGCGCTAGGGAAACTAATGCAGTGCTTCTCTTTACACGTATGTGTACACGTGTGTGCACATGCTTCTCTGTACCTGTGTACACATGTGTATGTACACGCTTTTTGTTACATG